AAAGGAGAAAAGACCACGAGAACGAATGTGCTGTATCTTACCCCGAGTCCTGCATCACTCCTCCAGCTGTGAGCCAGCAGGTCCTGCCCCAGCACCGCCAGCCCCAGCTGTGACGCAGGGAAGCTCTGTTGTGGCTGCAGAGCGATGCTGCCCACATAAAAAAGCAAATTCTAGGAACCAACTGGGGGCTGAAGATAGCAGTCGCCAACAAGACAGACAGACAGCCCGAACATTACTGACAAATTCCCTGCATCAGGGCTGCATGGCAGTATCACTACCTGCTCCAAAGCCCAGAAAGAGGCTACACCAGGCCCCTGGCCCTCCAGTCCCCAGGTTCAGATAGAAGGAGGTTTCACGAAGGTCTTACTGTGGTCCCAAGGTGCTGCTTGCTCTCCTGCAAAGAAGGTGCAGCAGAAAGGACCTGCACCCAGGTTTAATCAAGTGAGAGAGGAGAGCAGCAGCAACCGGTGCTTCATTAGCCTCTCAGCCCTTCGCTCCTGATGAGCTGGGGAGCCTTACCCACAAACTTCTGCAAAGGATATTTTCCTGTTACCTGGCTTATGTCTAGGGGAAGATAGATGTGTAACTAATTTTCCATGTATTTTACCTGAGTTTGTGATTCTGTCCAGGAGAGCAGTGAGTACTGAAGCTTGTTGGTGTATTTTGAAAGGAAAAGTACGTATTCTCCTAAATAAGGATGCAAAATGGACCTTTGTTTGCTCTGCGGGTCAGCTCCTGATGCCTGTTTACTCCACTGGCAGTGGTCTCTATGACTATCCCAGGCTGCAGTACTAATGTATGTTTCTTTAAGAAAATAGATAGCATTTGCAGTAAAATATAAGAATATGCAATAGTATTCTTTATTATTAGGCTGAACAGCCATGTAAAATGCATATAGCATATTGACACTGATCCCTGCTGCACTGAGGCTCCTTTGTGAAATTAGTTAATTAGTTCTCCCCCTACTCAAAACTTCACTTGAATAAATTTGTGGTTAGCACAAGTATGAAGAATTTTGCTTCTCTTGGCTAATTTTTTCTCTCTTCCCTCCTTTTCAAAGGAAATTTCACCTGTCTATTGGGATAGACTGTTCATTTTGGATAAAGATGACTAGCTAAAGAAGAAATATTATCAAAAATATATTTTGTGTAGCATAAAAGCTGCCCATACTTTCTCTGAAAGTAGCTGTCCGTCATCGCATAAGGTGAATAAACAGATTCTGCAGACTGTTACAAGCTTGTTAATTCTTTAATAAATTAGCCATTAAAAAGTGTTAATTAACTAGTAAAAATGTTTAGGGATTCTTTGAGAAAAAAATCTTAAGCATTGGAAAAGTGTATAAATGTAAAAAATATAGATGTTAAAAAAATATGTACTGTAAAAAATATAGGGTCTTAACGTGATTTCTGAGACTTTTACAACAAAGTGCAGAGAAAGACAGATGAAACTATGTTCTGACTACATACACTGAATAAGCCCAACGGGAACCTCTGTATATAGTTATCAGTGGCATTGAAATCTGCTTAGGAAAGCAACAAGTCTTTTGTTCTGTTGACAACAGTTATTACAATTAATTCATTTTGTGATTGGTATTTGCACTGAGTGACAAGGTGTTATTTTACCTCAGTAAAAGTTAAAATGGTAATACCTACATGTGAAATAACACTGAGTTTGCTATCACTCACTCAATAAAAGAAAAGCCTCTCTTCAGAAATGCCTGCTCAGCCACCACTCCTGCAAACCTCAAGTATTTGCATCAGACTTCCCTCTCTCCTCTTTCCCCAGGTATTGTTTTTTTCTCTTTTAAAAGTTTCTTTAGGGGAAAAATAATAGAACAAGTTGTCTTCTTTCTGCTAGAAGACAGAAAAAACCAGAAGTGAAGACAGTAACAGGCCTCCAGCAGCAGCCCAGGGTGAGATGCCTGCTGCAGGTGGCATTCCCAAAGGCAGGAATG